CTCTCTAGGAGGGGCACTGTTTAGGGGAATAACCCTTAATCCCTCTCCCCTTGAGGACGAACCAACCTCGATTCGGGCATTAGGGTCACGGCCGCTCAGGAACGGCATTACTGGCAGAGGACGGTTTCTCTTCAGAACCAGTTGCGGCACTTCCTCTTCAGTAGCCTCGTCTTCAGGCTCCATTGGCCTTTTACTAGGGTTGCCGGCCATTGCGAAATCGGCGGCGACACGAAAAAAGCAAGAAAAGGGGAATAGCTTAAAAGAAGGGGAAATCCGAATGAAATTCGGAGAAAATTACCTCTATCTAGCTCGGAATTTGCCGATTTAGTGATTCGGAGCAGTGAATTTTGCTGAAAAGCTTCGGAAAATGCGGAAATTGGTGAAAGAGAAAAGGGAATTTGCGCGAGTTCGCTGGAAAAGTGAGAGTAAAATGCGAAGAGCGTTTGATTTGGGAATGCCGGAAATGATTATGCGAAATGCGAATTAATACCTGGTACGAAAACCCACTCACTTGATTTAAACTCACAAACTCTTCAAATTCTTCTCAAACCAATTGCAAACCGCCAAAATTTAATTTTCCACTAAGTCCACTCCACTTCCCCACTATCATTAGTTAACCGTCATCAAGGTTAATTAATTATTATTAACGGTTATATTAACTGTACAAAATTCTCAAAAATATTTAAATTATTTTCATTTACTTCCCTCCAAATCCTTCAGCTGCTGAAACCCGACCCGTTATCCTCACGAATCGGGTTTGGGGGGCAAGTTGTTTGGGGTCCAAAATGCTTATATTTGGGCCCAGTCCACAAATGAAAATAATAGAAACCCAATAGGCAAGGTTCAACCCTCCAATGTATTTGCCAAGTCAGACATAGCAAGGCCCAATCAATGGCAGCCCATTGATTGACCAAGCCCAATTTATCTAATGGTACAAAGGTATAAAAGCTTTCATTTCAATACAATTACATTCATTCACATTTAATGCCTCAAGCAACAAACTCTCTAGCATAGCTTTTCTCTCATCTTCTTGTATCCGTACTGACTTCGGCATCGGAGGGGCCTTCCTTGGCACACCCCCCGAGGCTAGTTTACGTTTGCTTTGCTGTGCAGGAAATCCCTAATTCGGTTATCACTCGAATTGGGCTTCGTCTCCACTCATCCGAAAGGCCAGCCGAAGGCCCATTGTTTTCTGACCGAAACACCTAGTATTTAATCAATATATAGCATCGAAACTCAATAGTACTGAAAATCCATAGTAAATTGCACTTTTTAAGAGAATACCGACAATTGATTGTATCAAACTCAAGTTTCATATGCATTACTACGTTACTATAACACTCTATATGGTAGTTAGGAAAACGTTTAAAGTGTTTGTGGAGTTTAATAATTGAGGTTATTTTTATAGGAAAATTTTTATACGAAAATCCTAGCAAAGATACAAGGAGTCCTCACCTTTCTAAGAAGTTGGAATGAACAAAAGCTAGCAAGATATGATGAACTTGGTGGAGAGATTGTTATATACATCCGGGTGTACCGTACACCATGAGTATTTTGTTCTCATTTTGATGATTGTTTTTCATTTAATCATTAAATGAAAAGCAAACACTAACCTTGGGTTAGTTGAGTGTATAATACACCCGGACGTATATAATAAATTCCAGGTATCATGCAAATCAAACAAGATATAAAATTGGTGCATTATCTCTAGCAATTCAACTACTTAGCAATGAAAGAGAGAAGAAATGACATGAAAATTTAAGACGAATGTGTTGTTTAATAAATTTGGTAAATTGGGCGAATGAATGGCAAGTGCATAATTGTGGAGGTATATATAGTTCGATAAAAAGTCCCAAGTAGTTGGGGATACTTAGTGATGCCATAAGAATCTTACTCATATCTGAGAAGGGTCCTGTTCTTTTGAGCTGCTCTATTCTGCCCTGTCTTGCTCTACTCTGCTCTGCAGTGTGTGGAAGCCCTATCTCGCTCTGCTGAAATCTACTCTGCTCTGCTCTCTGTTAAAATCTGCCCTGCTCTACTAATCCCTGCTGCTCAAAAAAATAGGGCCTAGGATTGGGACCCATTTCTCGTCTTTGGATAACAAACAATCTTGTTATCTTGTTGTATACTTGTATTCAAGGTCTTCATATTTTTTTAGACACCCCCCCTCCAAAAAAAAGAGTATTATTGCACTTTACATTCGAGTGTATATAAAAATGGTGAATAATACTTTAAGCTTACATAGACTAAATTTTTATTATTATAATAAAATGAATAAATGTTATTATGTGATATATCGTTGAATTAGCTACAAGCAATAATGTCTATTTTCAACTAGCAGTTTACTATTGTGTAGGTTTGGAGATTGGACTACTATTAAACAAATAGTCAAATGGTATATGAAGTATCTCCTCAGTTTAGACATAATTAAAATACTATGATACTACACTATTCACATACTGTACTTTAAATATATCAAGCCATAATCCTTGATACACTTTCTTACCTAGCAAATACTAGTCATACAAGCAATAATTCATGCGTAAATAGTGTAAAATCCTTTGTGATAATGCACCAGGCAGTGTCGCATCACCTTCCATAATGAAATTGCTCCAACCTTGAACCAATGTCACTTCTATGGCAGCTAATAAGGTTTTTTCTTCACTTCTAGTAACAAATTCGAGACATCATTGAGCCCTAAATATAACAATAACAATATAATGAGACTAAATTTATCCGAACTGGGTCACATTGGGCCTAATTCAGTAATCAAAGGAAGACTAGGCCTTAGATGTGGGACTCTAGAAGGTCTCTAAAAAATAACTTAAATCTCTGATGGAAGATTAAGGAAGGTTCTTAAACATTGGAAATTCTCGTTAATACATGTATAACGTATAATGTATTTATGCATATAATGTACGTATTATGTTTATAAATGTAGAATGTTTTAACTATAGAGTTGTCTATGATATGGTTGAGCATGTAGCTAGGATTTATGTGGAACCTTGTATACCTAGAAGCTACCTAGAATCCCTTTATAAGGATCGGAAGAAGGAAGCTTCTAGCTTGGAATAAGTGAGTTAGTAGGAGGCTTGCTTATAAATAGCCAAGGAGCAAAGGGTCAATTGTATGAAACATGTAGAGTCGAATTGAATGCAAGAGTTTCTTCTTATAACACTACTAGTCATTTCTCATATACCTTCTTTTTGGGTCACATCGCAAACATATGGTGTTAAACCAATAGTAAATGAAATGCATGCATGCGTACTGTCGAGTATTTTATTAATACATATTAGGTTTATTGTCGTTAAAGGAAAATCTTAATCTTGTTTTGATACATCAAACAATAGTGGTGAAGTGATGCACGATGAATAAGAATTTTTACAAAGAAAAGAGTATTGGTGTTATTTTAATCGATACTGTAAATCTCATTATTTTTTTTTTGACACACTGTAATTCTCATTATTGAAAAACAAGAATTGATTCTAGTGTGTATGAGAAAATTTAATGTCAACCTTGAAAGTTTATAAAATAAGAATAAATGGTTGAAAAAAAAGAGTATCAAACAAATTGAAATATAAAATTTGGCACAAAAATATTTGGTACAAATAACAAAAGTGATTAATGCTTAAAACTTCATTTGAGATGAAAAATAATTTATTTATTTTTGAGATGCAAATGGAATTTCTCATTGCCTTGCTGATTTGGGGAGAGTTCAAAATGATACCAGAGTTTCCCTTTATAACATCTATCATAGCTTTGGGTTTAGTATTACCCTTTTATGCATGTGTGGAAAATGAATCAAAGTACTTCTCCTGCACCCTCACAATCACAAAATATGGCCTATACTAAAGGGAGATTCATCAATCCAATGCTCAATCAAACACTACACGGATCTATTATTGCACACTAAGGTATGTGCTTTGTATTAACATTTTTTATGTTAAATTTTTATTGTAAATATCAATTTAGTTGGTTGGCACATATCATTAACTTTTTTAATGTAAATTCTAAATCATTTTTCAAATATTATTACGTTAAATGCTAAATTTATATATATTTTGATCCTACTAATAAACCTATGTTCAATTTATTCCTAATAATACAAGTAATTGTGCATACCATGCATAAAAATCCTGAATACGCCATTATCTACCTAATGCATGTCGTACAAATGAAGTTTTATGTATTAGGCAAATTTTAATGATACTAATGTTGTATCTGATAGTAAAATTAAAACTTCAATAGCCAAAAGCTATACCAAAAGCTAACAAGCAACCCCGGGGCGTTAGATATATAAGAGATTAAAAAGTGAAAAACTGAAAATTTTAAAGTAAAATTAATATTAATTATACCGTTCGACACCTTATTTTATCATGCATTCATAACTTAATACTATTTTAAGCACTATATTCTATCCATCCAAGAATAACTGACACAGTTAAACTTTACACACATGCCAATTAGCCAATACACTAGTTTGACTTTATTTTTATATAATTAAATATCAATAAAATTCTAAAAATTTATTTTATGAAACTTTATATTAATACGTAGTTACAATATATTTCATAATGAAATATATTTTATGACCAAAAAAAAAAGCCTATAGTAAAAGATAATATATAAATAGTGAAAAAAGTATAACATTTCAGTTATTCTGGGACAGAGGTAGTATTAATTAGTTATCTATAAACGTGAGGCGATCATTAACAAATTTTATATGTGACTGACTAAACTGTGTGACTAGTCATCATAAAGGTTACTTCGTTAGTGTAATAGAGGCTACTTGGTCAGTGTTATAGGGTTACTCGGTCAATGTTATAAAGATTACCCAACCAATGTTATAGAAGTTCCTCGATCAATATTACAAAGGTTAGTTTTATAGAGATTACTTTGTAATTTTATAACCGTGTTCAGCCCATACCCCCCATACATGACTGGCCGCTCCATAGGTGGATTTTGTGACCGGCGGCGTAGGAATGTGCACGAGTAGATTTTACTAGAGGAGCTTAGGAGATTCTGTTATCTACTGGAGTCGTGGTTCTACATTATTGGGCCCCTCTTTCTCTCCTCATCCTCTTACTTTTTTTCCTTCAGTTTTGTCGGGAAATCTTTTCCTTTCTTTCCCGGTTTTATCCCAGAAAACCCCCAAAAATAAGAGAAAAAAAAAAAAATCAAATTCCCAGGTAGTGGGATCAAAAGAACAAAACCATGGCTTCATCTGGTATGAAATTGTTTAATTGTTAGAGTAATTTCTGTTTTCCACCATTCAATTTAATTACAATTTGATTATAAAACAGTCTAATTTTCAATCAATCGAAAAAAAAAAATCTATTCTTATTCTTTTCCTTCTAACTTTCAATGAATTTGGTCAATTTGATTCATTTTCCCATCTGGGTATCTCTTGAAAACCCCAATCACCTCGAAATTTGTGATTTTTTTTTTCGCTAATTACAATTAAATTTGGAAATAGAAATTGCAAAATTAATGGGGATTTTGTGTATTGCAGATTTAAACTCTCCTATTGTGGCAGAATTAGAGGCTGCTTACCATTGGAAGACTGCCCAATTCTTTGTTACTAAAAGACCCTGGCTTGGTATAATTTTCTGCTTCTCTCATTTTACTATTATATTGCTTGAATACCCACATTTTTTGTTTTGGTTTTGATATACTAATTACTGTGTATTAGATTTTGAATTCATGGCAAAATTATGCATTGATTAAGGTTTTTATGTTTAGTTACTGCTTAATATTTCAGATTTTAGCATCTTATAGTTAGCCCCTTGGGTTGTCATTCTTGCTAATATCATTTTAATTTTGTTTTGATCTTTTGACTGTTTTAGCTTCTCATTTTGTTACACTGTCATAGTCTTAGTCGTTTGTTTCAATGTCTTCATATAGATCTGTATGGGGTTAGGGTTAGTCCAGTGGCAGCATTTGGAAGTGTTAGTAACACAGCTTCTTCTCTTGATCCTGCACTTATTCACCGCGTTCTTCCTGATGAGTTGCTTCATGAGGTAATGAGTCCTAGATGTAATTCACTAGTCTGTGATGTGTTCTTGTTTGAATCTGTGTTGATTTCGTTTCGTTTTCAAAATTTATACCTGTACAATATATATCATAAATCATGAAAATATAGTTTTTTATATCACCTATTGATCAAAATGTGTCATGCTATGTTTATATTTGCATCATGCTTGAGGTTGTATCTGATATGGCAAGTGGCCATAGGCGATTCATGTCAAATTAGCAAATCTTCATTGCTAGGTCTTGGTTGAGTTTCGAAGAATAACATTAACATTATAACACGTGGATGTTGAGAATGTCTAGCTACGTTGATTCCAATTGCTAGTGAGAATAAAGCGCCATAATTTAGTTCTCTAGTCAGGGAGTTTCTGCTTTTCAACTTCTGACAATACTAGTTTCTTTGTATGTTTATAGAAGAAGCTACACTGGTTCAGCCATTCAGTTTATGGAATCTTTAAATTTTTAGTCATGGGGTATGCTTAAAGAAGCTTTTGTTGAGCCACATATATGCTGTGCACATGTTAGTTGTTCCACATTGGAGAAAAGGAGAAAAAATAACACCATACAAGCTTGGGGAGTACTTGTAGCCAATTGGTCGTGGGATGAAATTTCACTTGGGCTTGTAAGTATGTAATCTTTCTCTGTCATGGTTTTGTCCTGGGCGCCTGGTCTCATTTCTTTGTTAAATCAAAGTTGTGTGTCAAAATTACCTTTTAGTGGCTTGGTGGGTAGCTTGATTGGCTAAGGTGAAGATATTAATTCTTACAAGTATATACATGATCTATTCTGATCTCTTCCTTGTGTTTACTTCATGTGCTGTCTGAAAATCAAGACTTTGTTTCTAATTCAACTGAAAATATTCTCTGTAATTGTATGTGGAAGTTTTGAAATCAACACATTTGTTATTGAGTCAGCCAACATATTCAAACCTTTATTCCGTCATAATATTTCTGAAATGTTGAGCATCAGTATACAGTATTACATTTCCAGGACTTTCTGGAATAGGTTTGCATCAGGATATGTGGTATCTTGCATTTGATGGGGGTAACGAAACTACTATAAAAAGAATGAGAATGATGCATAAACAATCATCATATATGGAAAGCCTCAAAAGTAAAATTCATATAGTAACATAGAAACAACATACTTAGCTGTTCTCTAATCCTATAAATTGATTTTCAACTCCATTACTTGCATAAGTATTAACCATTTGTCACAAACTAACAATAATAAAAATGAAAATCAGAAGATATTTTCATTTATTATCCTATGCTATAAATTGATTTTCAGCTTTACCACCCCCTTCCCACACCCCCCCCCCCAAATAAAAAAAAAAGAAAATCAAATAAAATAAATAAGGGCCTTTGGTTTTCTGTTTCTGGTTTTTTGTTCTTGAAAGTCATATGATAAATTTCATATAAAATAATAAAAATAGTCTAACTTATTAGAATTATCGTGATTTTGAAAATTAAAGTGGTTTCCGGGTTTAAATTTTTAGTTTTCAAACGAATATGTACGAGCCCTAAATAAATGACTTTTTTTTTTTTTTTGGGTGCAGATCTTTGCAAGATTGCCTTCTTATCATTTGGGAAGAGCTGCTTGCGTTTGCCGCAAATGGAGATATGCCATACGCAACCCTATTTTTTGGCGCATCGCATGCTTGAAAGCATGGCAGGTTTAGTTCCTCAGTAACTTCTGTATTACTCATATTCTAAATTTCTCATACTGTCTAAAAAATCTTTTTCTTGCTGAAGCTTTCTGGAGTGGTGTACAATTACCAGATTTTGCATTCAAAATATGACGGCTCATGGAGAAAAATGTGGCTCTCGAGACCGAGAGTGCGAACTGATGGTAAGTCTCATGTACTTAGAGGTAGCTAGGAAGAACCATATTAAAGCTACCAATAGTAGCTAAGATTAACTAAGAGTGATTGTTTTGGTTAGTGATGGAGTCGAGTAATCTCCTAAGAGCAGCTTATGTGAGTAAAGTGTGATTATCTCTTGGCTCTTGCTGTTGTAAAGTTAGCTAATTGTTCATCTACTGATTGTGTAACCAAGTTTCAAGGTTCATCTTATTGAGGGATGGGACAAATTTTGATGCACAAATATGCTTTATGGATAAATCTATGTTACTACTCAAATTGGACACTAGTGTCCAACTTGGCTATTTTGTGAAATATTTTCATGTTTTTAGCCTATGAAGTGTTTAATTGTCCATACCTATGTTGGAATGTCGAGTATTTGACTTGGCTATAAGTACGTGAAATAAAGGATTTCACAAAATTCTGGTTGGCTTTTTTGAAAATTGCAAATTGTTCATTGTGCTCATCTCAATTAGTTAGTACTGTGAAAGAGTGCTGACTAGTAATGCACTAAAGTTTGTCTGGTTTGGCATTTTGTTCTTTGATGGAGCTAGAGATTGTGAAGATTTTGCTGATGAAGATTGTAGTTTCTAATTAGGACAATCCTTTAAATTTTGTGTTTCCGCCTTTTTACAAGTTCAGGAATATAAATTCCATTGAAGACATCAAGGTTTGTTATTGTTGCATGCAGGCATTTATGTGAGCAGGAATACTTATATACGTGCTGGAATCGCTGAATGGAGGGTTTCAAATCCAGTACACTTGGTAGGCTGCTTCTCCTCGTGCTACTGCTAAGTCCTTTTAAGTTTTTCAATTATTAGAGCAGACCAGGAAAATGCCTGTTCCCCTCTCTGCTTTATGCTCAAACAACTTCATATCTGGAAATATAGGGATATACATGCATCATTTGTCTCTTTTCAGAAGAGCAAGGATGTTTACTTCATATCTTAAAGCACTTCTTGTCCTCCCTCCCTCTCATGTAATAACTGATAATAATGAAACTTGGTTTTCTCACAGCAATATTTATTGAGCTAAATTGTTTGATCATGTTTTTTGTCTAACTTAAATTCTCCTGTTCAGGTATGCTATTACCGATACATCAAGTTTTACCCCTCTGGAAGATTTTTGTACAAGGTTTGATTAACCAGTTTTTTTTTTTTCTTTTTTCTTTTTTTTTTTTTTTTGACGAGAAGGTTTGATTAACCAGTTGACAAGTTCTTTTAGCATAAACAATTTTTTAATTTTTATTATATTGTGTTTGTATCTTTTATACGATTGCTTACTTTTCCTTGTTATTTTAATGGCCAGAATTCATCTCAAAAACTTAAAGATGTTGCTAAGATTATGAACTTTCGAGCATCTAAAGCAGAGTGTATTTATCGTGGACAATACACATTGTCCGATGACAAGGTTAAAACTTTTCTGTTTCTTACTTTCTTGTAGTGACAGGGAATTTTGGGCTGGGTATGAAAACAATTGATTGCTCAGTATGTTCCTTAATCTAAAGGATGTTGTCATTGTTTCCAGGTTGAAGCTGCGCTTCTGTACCCGGGGTTGAGGCCTACTGTTTTGAGGATACGCTTAAGGTATGTGACATGACTTGATAGATTGTCTCTACTTTTAAACATTCGAATTGTACCTTTGAACTTGTAAATTTGGAATTATATACTGTATTAGTTTTGGGCTTGAGCTTACTGTCCAGTGACAAGTTTTGTGTTTGTGCCTTTGTGGTCTTGGAAAGAACACACTTTAGAGCTCAACTCATTCTTAGATGTTTCTCATTGGAAAAGAACATACTTGTACCTCAGATTACCCTCTCTCACTCAACTTCTTTCCCAAAATTTTTTTGGTGTCCCTTTTGTTCTTCTATTGATTTTGCTACCGTGTAAATAGCAATGTCCTTGGTGTCCTCCATATGTCTTGCATAAAGTAAATTGTTGGAGGCTTGGGTTGCATAGCAGTGACGTGTTATGTGTATCACAGTGCTTGTTTATATCGATGTGACTTTTTTTTTAGGGAGCAACCTGAAAGGGCTTCCTTTGGATAAAGCAATGACTTGTACTTCGTATTTTTTCAGGCTGAGAGGGACAACAGCTGGAGCTAATAACAGAATGGATTTGGTCTCCCTCGTCACCAGTGGTGTTAACGATAATGAGGCAAACCATGAGGAAGACATGCTTGATGTAGTCGAAGGATGGCAGGATGATGAGACACACAATCCTGATGTGCCTGCAGTCTCACACAGCAGGGGCTTAACTCCTTTTGTCTTTGTTCCTTTTGAGGAGGTATATTGATTTCTCTTTTTATTCTTAGGATCGAGTTAAGTGTAAGAAACTCCCGTTCATGAATACAACCACTCAAGTCACTAGTCATACTTAGAAATTCATTCTTTGGCAGCAAAAAGAGCACTTGAAAATCCTCAGGGGCATTGCTGAATTGTAAAATGCACAAATTAATATAGTGGCATTCTTTTGTTTTCTTTTTCTCTGCTCATTTCAAAGCCAATATCTTTTTCTTAACAAAATTTACTGCCCTGTTTGTGAGTTAATTTGTTATCAACGTGTTGTGTAGGTGGAAACATCAGTTGTGAATCTTCCAGTGGATAAGATGGATTTCTTTGTACCCGACTAATACCCTATTGGAAGACGCTTGTTGTATGATCAATGTATGGCACAATAAGTTCCGGCCTCTGGTTTCCACCACTCGTGTTGTAAATATGTACTGTTATAGTTTTAAACTTTTATGTTCCGCTTTAGGTTTAAACAAAAGTTAAACATCTTGTTGATTCGCACCCAGCAGGGCCAGCACTGACATCGTCTTATGGAATGTTAAGCGACTGTTGTGTACTACTACTACTTATGTATAATGTATACTGCAAGGAGATTAAGGAAACCAGCGAATATTAATAATAATAATGTGTTTTCAATTACAAGATCCTTTTTGAGCATGATACATTTCATTCACTGAATGTAATAACTGAAATAGCATCACAGAGCTTGTATTCGAGTAGAAGAGGTTGCTGGAGTTCACATACTAGATTTAACATCTCCTTTGTACACTAACGCGTTCCATGATGGATTCCTCGGAAGAAATGTGTCCTATGACAATCAAAACATATACCAATCTGTTAGCAGTTTACAAATTACAGGCACCTATTCGTCTAACAAACAAAAATGTCACAAGAAGTAGTCCCCTTCAAACCTTCACATGTGATCGAGCAACCACTTAACTAACTTTTATCATTCCACGTAAACCATCTAGAGTAACTAACAAGTCTTTCAAACGTAAATTGTTACATACTTCGTACTTAACAATGATAACGACAACGATGATATAATCGTAAATACTTACAGATACATAGGAGCAGGAGGGGATGACGGGCAAGGAATGCGACTGAGCGTGATTGAAGGCGGCAACGCAGAGGTGAGATGCCAAACCAAGGCCTCGTTTGAAAGGAGGAACATAGGTGTGAAGGATATTCATGATTTGGGAATTATTTCCATGGATGTTTTTAAGATGGTATTCTAAATAAGCTTTCTTGTCTTCTGTTTCGAATCTTTGTTGATTTTCATTCCATATGATTTTGGGTATTTCTGTTGCTCCTTTAATTTTTCCTTTGTCATTCGCCATTTCTCGTTCTTCTCTCCAATTGGAAGCTCCCACAAAAAATTCAACTTTTGATTTGGGGAAGTTGGGATTTTGATTTTGATTTGGGGAAGGATAAGGTGCTTGAGTTTTTTCGGTGTAAGCGTACAACGCGCACTAATAATGCAAATTTCTCTTTTTTTTTGTAAAAAAAAAAATTACTAAAAATAATTCCAACTTTTACTCATTCGCTTAAATAATCTAAACTTTAGGGTAATTCGCTCAAATAATCCCAAGTGATCAATAATCTGTTTAAAAGGTAATTTTTTTAATTTTAGTAACTTGTGTCACTACGTGATTGGTTGAAAATTAAAAAAAATAAAAAATAAAATAAAAGCCCCAACCCACGACAACCCCCACCACCAGTCCAACACCTTGGATTTCCGACAGCCTTCTCCCACCCCCAACCCAGGTACCCCACCCACCCCAAAACGTCGCGCCCAGCCTCCCTTCCTTCGCGCCGATTCTGCCCTCCCCTACCCATAAATTCCCTAAACTTGAAACCCCAAAACAATCATTTTCAACAACCCAAAATCCGCAAAAAAAAAAAAAAAATTGGCCCTCCCCCACCCTTGAAACCTTAGAGATAGGTTTCGAGGGTGGGGAGGGCCGTTTAAGGGGTTTTGCGGTGGGGCTGTGCTTGACGATGGTTGGGGGTAGGGGTGTTCATATCCGGGTACCCGGATATTCGGGTATCCGGATCTTCGGGTAATTGATAAGTCGGCCCGTGTCCCGTCTCGGATAATTCATGTGGTGGGGCTGGGCTTTTTTAATGGTTTCGGGTTGGGTTTTTGTTCAATTTTTTAAGTTTATTTTTATTTTTTATTTGTCAATCATTCATGTGGTAACACGTGTCGCCTTAACCTGCTATAATAGGCTGGTGACCGATTGGGACCATTTTGAGCAAATGACCCCCAAATTTTTAATTATTTAAAAATAATCCAAAGTTGAGATTATCTTTTAGCGAACGAGTAAAAGTTGAGATTATCTTTATTAATTTTTCCTATTTATTTTTAGGCAAAATTGGCCTCAACTATGCTTTGGGTACAGTGAATAACACAACATTTGACTAATACTCCCTCCGTTTTCTTAAGTACCCCATTGAGACTTTTTTGCATTTTTTACTTAACTTACCTTGACTAATGTTTATGAATCATACACAAAATATATTACCCTAGTTTCATTTTCGATTGTAACCCCATATCACTTTGTGAACCAAGCGCCCCTAAGAGGTTTGTCCACAAACTATAAAAAAGTAAAGCAAACCTCTATATGAATCGACTATTGCTACCAACCTTACTAGCCATGATAACAAAATTTTAAAAGATGGTGCATTGCCAATTATAGGCATTTGTAAACCCGTGTTTTTTAATTTAAATTTGTGTGGGATTATCATTTTTAGGCACCTTTTGATTTGTATTAGCTAACCAAAGTCTTATTTTTGGGGGAAATAAAGAGTGTGGATTAAAGAAGTGCTAGAGAAATATATCTCTTTAAAAAATGATTTTATCCGTGTTATTAAATATATTATTATGATTAAATAAAAACTTTTTAAAAGATATAGAGTAACAAGACATTATAAATTTATGATAAGTACTTATTGTAACAAATTAACAATAGTATTAATGATGCTTTTTTAAATGAAAGTTGATGGTAATTATTTTTACTAATTATGTCTATATTAGCTGAATATATAAAAAAGAAAAAAAAAACATCAAACATCCTTGATGTACCTATCAAATTATCAATCAATTCAGACAAAATTAACCCCACTTGAGTCATGGTTTAATAATATACAATGTATTTTACAAGTACAACTATATAAAAACAAATTGTGTAAAGTCCAATAAAAATTAAACAAGCAACAAAGTGTTCAACTTTATTGGATGATTTTAGTCCTTCCAATTATAGAAACTGAAAAATTTAACAAAACGCCAAATGTATGAAAGTGTTCTGAGTCTCTCTCCTCAGCAACAGTCATCAGAAAATCAGAAAAAAATGGGGGATACCAAAGTAGAGACTATCTCTAGACTAGCACAGTGGAAAATCGACAATTTTGGCCCTTGTTCTTACAAAAAATCTGACCCTTTTAAATTGGGTCTTTGGAATTGGTTTGTTTTCTTTCTTCTTCATCTTTGATTACTTTTTACCCAGAAAAAATTATGAAAAAAGTGCAGTTTTTTTTTAATTTGTAATATTGTTGTAAATTTCAGGCATTTAGCAATTGAAAAGAATCGATATTTATATGTAAGATTGTTTCCAGAACCTTCTCGGGTGTCGAAGGATCAGCCGCCACTTGCTCGTTTCATTCTTAGAGTATCTAATCTTGGTCTTAGTCGAAGACCCTATATTTCTCCTAGTATGTTTTTTTACTTTCCTTTCGATTTTTGATTTGTTTGTTTAAAATTTGAAGTGGGGTTTTGTGTTTCTTGTGAAATTTGAATACTTTTCTGATGATGAATTGTAATTGTTTTGTGAAGGGTATTTTACGTTGTTTGGTATATTGGATTGTATATTGTTGTTGTGATTGAAGTGAGGATTGTTGAATTGGTAGGCTTCATGATTAGTTCCGTGTTCGTTTTATGCAATTGTGGAATTTGTTGTTGTTAGTTTGTTTGATTGGATGGAGAATTGGTGAGGTTTTTTCGGTTAAGTTTGTTGATTTTGAGAAAAAGAGTCAATCTCTTTTCGGCATTAAGTATCAGCGTTCAGGCTCTTTTGTTTTTGGGTAATATAAATGAAGTATTACGTACCAATTATGCCTGTGTTAATTCTTAATGTGTGAAAAGTTGATTAAGTGACGATTTGAATCTGAGGAAGTAATAGATATTTTTTTAAGGCTGTCAATTGCTCATTGCAACTAGTCTTTGTGATTTATCCACTATCCATGAGCTCTCTTCTCTCAGCTTGAAAATCAGATAAATACGGAGTAGTAATTCTTGTTTTTGATACAACTAATTTCTGAAAGAGTATCTGGTGTTCGGTTCTTAGTTTCTATATTTAGTATTACAAATTCAATACTTATGTGCTTGCCTTACCCGAGATTGATAGCAAGTAAATGTTCTTAACATCATTTGTTGCTTCTTTGCAGTTCATGAACGACTTCTTCGTAACAGTGATGATTTTGTGTGGCCTGTGGACACTACATTCTATGGTCGGTTTATTATTGATGTGGAATTCCTGGACTTGAAGATCTGCCCATCAACTGTGAGTCTCAGAATTATTTTCTTTTAAAGTTTTAGTGGCAGGTGCTTGTGTTTGCCTGCTGTTAATGACAAATACTTTGACCCTCTTTAGTCTGTAGACTGTGAATTGGAGAACATCTGGTAGGGGTTTTTTTCATGAAAATCCCATATCTTCTTTATGCTAACACGTCGATTTAAACTCTGTGCCCTTTAGTGAAAATTTAATAAATCTATTTCTTTCCAATGCCTACCATTGAGACTGACCGCATAATTTAATGACTGGTAGCTAATAGCCATTGTGATTTTCTTTCTTGTCTCTTGACCAGAAATACAATCACATGTGCCATGTTTGAATATAGCTTGTAGCACCATTTGGTTTCTCTTGTAAATACTCGCTTTGGGCTAAACCTCACTTCTAGAGTCTCAGAGATTTTCAACCCTGTTCAGTTATTTTCATCCCCTTTTTTTTTTTTTGGGAATAGTAAAAAAATTCATTAATAAAAAGTCATACGACATCTACAAAAGAGATTCGACTTCAACAAAGACATAAGAGATTTTCAACCCTGTTTAGTTATTTTCATCCCTGTTTAGGTAATCATTTTACCAATAAAAGTATGTGTACTACTGCTCCAACAATGTCAAGGTTGTAAACATTTCATAATTGCTAAGTGAAATTCCAGTAAAGACCATTTGGAGTTACAAAATTATTCTACAAATTGGTTAAAGGTAGCATCTATATTGTGACGAATTCAGTCGGCGACTTTTTAAATGAACAGTTGAGTCCATTTATATGACGTTTTTTTTCTTCTCATATGATTGGAGTGTAGTACGGGATCATTCATATGATCTTTCATCTTTGCCTTTTCAAGAACCATACAGAAGAGTGCATAATCTAAATTGCATCACAATCTGTGTTTCTACATGGTTACTTCTTGGTCTCAGGTTGTTGACTAGTAGAATGTGGCATCATCTTTTCAGCTTATGCTGCTTAAACATGTGTTAAGAAAAGATTAAAAATTTGAAACAAATATGATTGTTAATGTCGAAAAGTGATTGGACTTAGTTGTCACTCAGTAGTAATGAAATAACTCAGACTTGATTATGAATTTAGTGTGTTTGAAGTCTCCACAACATATACATGAAGGACCCTTTTCGATGTTCATAAGGTTGTATCACTGCCTGTATGTCAAGATTTCTGGTTTATTTTATTTTGTTCAAAGAACCCTCGTTTTATGATTTTCTCCTATTAAACCTTTTCTCACTTCATAGGGTGGTCAAGCGGTTTCAATATGGCCAACTCAAGGAAACATGCAATCTTTGGCCTCTCAAAGTGCCCTCCAAACAATCTCTCGCATGCTTTATGAGGAAATCTGTACCGATGTTACTATCACTACTGTGGACGGAACCCTGAAGGCTCACAAAGCAATGCTTTCAGCAAGCTCTCCCGTGTTTCAAAGTATGTTCCTTCATGATCTGAAAGAAAAAGAATCTTCGACCATTGCAATAGACGACATGTCCTGGGAATCTTGCAGGGCCCTCCTCAGCTATATATATGGAACAATGAATCCTGAGGATTTCTGGAAGCACAGGCTCGGTCTTCTGGCAGCTGCAAACAAGTACGATATGACAAATCTTAAAGATGCGTGTGAAGAAAGCCTCTTGGAGGACATCAACTCGGGGAATGTCCTAGAGAGGCTGCAGGAGGCCTGGCTTTACAAGCTTGATAAACTTAAGAAAGGGTGCTTAACATACTTGTTTGATTTTGGAAAGATATACGATATTAAGGATGATTTAAGCAACTTTTTTCAAAATGCTGATAGGGAATTACTGACTGAGATGTTTCAAGAGATTCTTACAGCATGGAAGCCAGCTTAACTACCCTTGAAGCTTGTCATAGGTAACATGTAAATATCGACAAGCTTCTAATCTCTCGTGTCTTAACCTATTTTATGCCTTTTCTTTGTTCCTCCCCTGCGTTGTTCTTTGCTTCGTATGTGGGTTGGGATTGTTGGAAATGGATATTGTGAGTGTATTGTGATACAACATAAGATTTTGTGCCGTGTTTATGTAATGATTTAATGGAGTTTACTGCTAATAGTAGTTAACTAGAGTTATCGTCTGATAAGCATAAACTTCAGAAAGTATTTTCTGTTTGTTACTCTGCACATCTGAAAGTTTTTTATGTTACTTCGTATAATCGTATTATATAATTCTGAAGTTTTTTTATATGATTGTGAAGTTTTCATCTTTAGTGCACGAGGTTGAAATTCTTGTTGATCACAATGATCAGCCTGGGTAGCATTGTATGGCATGGATGCATAAAGTTTTGGCTTTTGAGTGAACAAAATCTGATTCAACTGACCATTATTTGATATTTTGATGCTTGCTGATCTTAATCAAAGAAAGTGTTAAATTCATATCATGGTCAATATGCAGACTATGGAGCCAGTGTTACTGCTTGTTGATCTTAACCAAGGTTGATAAACAGGCAGAGTACCATGTTATGTTGTTCAAACCTTTTGTTAACGAGGTTTGAGCTTGATTTAATTAAGATAATGATATGTATAGTCCTCAAGACTACATATAAGAAAGTTTTATGTGTTAAAATTATTACTTAATCAAACATTAATTACAATGGCCGTCACATGTGATTTTTGTTATGCAATCCAACATATTCCTTGAAATTGTAGGCCCTATTTTCTTCACTTTTAAGAGTTTCGACGGTTAATATTTATTAGAATAATTTAAGTTCAATTAAGTTAAGCAAAAACAAGTTTAAAATCAAATGAGATCCGAATTAAAAAAGTTTCGATCATACTTTTTTTTTGTCACAACCACAAAGTTTCAATCATGCTTTATCAATTTTATGTGTCCTTTTTTATCGTTAAGTGTCTATAATCAAGTAAAGAAAAAATATTAATACATTAATATATCATATAGTAAAAATAAGATGAATTAAACATAAATTTAATCAGTAAAAAAATTAGGTGAAAATATCATGATTAATACTTGTATGAAGTAAATATTAAGTTTTAATCTTTCATAAAAGAAAATAAAAAAAAAAAAAAGTTTAAATCAGTATTGTAAAGGTAAATTCCAGTTTCTACAACATCTACTCTTTCTCCACGAAGTTCTAGCCGATTTCAGAACCTTCCATAAACTTCTTGAATAAGAACCCAAAACGAATCTACCTTCCTCTTCCTAAACTTTCCAGAAAATTAAATCTTTCAAATTAATAACCCCAGAAATCTTACAAAACCTCAGAAATCCTACAAATCAAACCACTAAATAAGGCCAAAAAAAAAAAAAAAAAAAAAAATGTTCTTCTTTTTCGTGGGAGGAGTAGAACAGCAGGTTGGGCAAGTCCTCAAGTCCGGAATCAGCAAGTGCATTAACTGCGGTTCCAAAGCTGATCTTGTTCAATACGACAACGTTTTGAAGGTGTTCTTTGTACCTGTTTGGAAATGGCCTGGTAAAAAACCTCTGCTTCATTGTAACACTTGTAATCTGTTTTTTCCTGAGTCTCTCTCTCTTCCTTCTACTACGACGTCGTTTCCACCGCCCACTATCGATGTTTCAAGGTGTCAATCTTGTGATCGTGTTGTTGAAGCTCATTATCGCTTTTGCCCCTTTTGTGGTGTTTCTTTGTAAATGACTTTTTGTGTTCTTGTTTGAGTTTTTGATTAATTAGCTACTAATTTTAGTACTTGTATTTTTAATAAAAGGTTAATCTTAGTTTGTTTTGTTATTGTTGTTTGCTACTAATCATAGCAATTTGATATCGCTAGCACTTGCTTGGACTTCCTTTGAAAATGATTGTTACGCGTAACAGTTGTTACTTGTTAGTACTTCATTCGGAAATAGTCGTTACATTGCTTGAAGATACAACAGTAGCTAATTCGATAATATGATAAGATGATTATTTGGAATAGAGGGAGTACTTGATATTATGTCGTATTGATAAGATGATGACCACTTTATAACATCGGGGTGAAGCGTTGGGGTTACACTTGTATTTTCAATATTGAATCATAATAGTTGTACTTGAAAAGATTGCAATTGAAGAATAATGTTTGTCCTCAAAATTTCTTCACAAAAGATGCATTAGAAAGAAGAGATGTTTAATGTACAATCATCTATTCTATAATGGTGAAAATTTACAATCACTCAACTTATAATCGGGTTTCGTATTAGATGCCCTAATGAGGAGTAAAATAGGGGAGGAAAAAAAGAAAAGGAAAAAAAAAAAAAAAGAGGGAGGATTATTGAATTTAGCACTGAAACTGTACACCTGACAAAAAAAATTAAGCAAAAGCATACAGACTAATGGCATGCTATTGACTTTCCCTCACATCATTGACAATTTCCGGTTTCCACAATTTGACGAGCTCAATTGATGCCCCAAAACAAACCTTACCATTGCTGAGAAGTGCAGAAATTATTCGTATGAAGCCTTACGATAAACAATCACATCTCCGATTGCAATTTGCCAAAGGTAGAGTGAAGTCAAGCCGTCAGTATGTTACATTGGGAGTATTCTCGTATGTATTTCATTTGGTAAAGGGAAGACGTTTCTCTCCTCTTTCGACTGCATCTCTCCATTGTCTATATCTGACACCGAGTTTGTCATAGGGTACAGGCCAGTTCCAGATGTTTGCTCCATTTATCATACGTTCTTGTTGTCCGAGCACGAGTCTCAGATCTTCGTTCAAGACCTGCATTAGTCACAGTTTCTTAAGAAGCAATGCTTTGGTTGATTTACCACCCCTTTCAGAAACAAATACTCAGACTTAAGGAATCCTAGATCTGAATTATGCATTTCAGCACGAATAGTTCATGTATAAAGTAAACAAGAGTTTGGTTTGGTGCCTTGCGGAATTCTCAACATGTGAATTTCAAGTGTTTATATGCAAAGCATTTACGGAGATAAATTAACTCAATGGGCACAAATAAAAATCTCTTAACTTTGATTAGAGAAAAAGAGCTAACCTTCTCTGCAAAGTGCCTCCACAAATGTTGCATGAAGGGAACATGCTTTAGAATTGGAGCAAAATCTAGTGACATTCTATAAAGCAGTCTTGTTTTTTGTTTCGATGATGGTAAACAAACGTGAAGTTGGTGGAGATGTGTTGCACATTGCTTAGTACTCTGCCCTTCTAGTTTTCCTGGCTTAGAGATCCCAATTGTAGATAGTACCATACAAGGCGGTCTAAACTCCATATCTATGGGATAAGGGTCCCAGTATCCTTGAAGTCCTGATGCTGGTGTCAAGAATTTCACCAAGCTGTAACAAAAGGTAAGATAATAAGTACTATGTGGTGTGTAATGTCACAACTTACTTTTCCAATAATATACACGTACATGATCAATGACTTAATTCACCAAATTACTTGGATCTATATATACGAGAGTTAAGCTCGGTTAAGGATACAAGAGACTGACAAATGAAAATCCGAATATCCATGGTACGGGGATAGGACACAATCATGAGCATTCAAAGCTCTGCTATTCAGACTCTCATTTTACTTCAAGTATATCAGATCCTTGATACTCTGACATGGTTATGGTGATTTACACTTCATTATAGACCCAAGAATGGAAAATTAATAAAACAGCAGAGTTTGAAATAGAGGATGTGTATATTGATGTCTTACACTCGTATACCTGAGTCTGAGTAACATAGTTTCAAAGTCATGCCAGAGACATGGTTTAATGTGTACAAGCAGGTAAGTATTAATGCAAAAGTTAAGGTATCCATAACTCCATACTCTTTTGGGATATCATTGACTGACCCAAGTACCAAGTTTATATGGTTGAATAACCATGATTCATGAATATGATGATTATCTTCATTTACGTCTTTCTCCACAGGTTTAAGAGAAAACATGACATCTTAAGACATGTCTTTAGGAAAAACAAACCTTGGAACACTCCATCCTTTGGCAAATGTGGAAGTATGAGTGAAAGGAGCATGTGCAAGGTCGAGAAGATTATCCAAAAGTAGTCCATGTTCAACTGGAAGTTCCATAACTATCTGCATACTTCAACATGAACACATTACAATATGCCCCAGATGTAATATGTTTCAGTTTTTCACACTACTATTGTAGGAATAGTATACCTCTGCATGAATTACAAATCCTTCAGGAGGTAAAAGTGAAGGAAGGTTGGCGGCAGGAGGGTCACTGCCTGGCCAAATCCAAATCATCCCCTCCTGCTCAAAGCAAGGCAACGACTTTATCCTAACATCCAATAACTTCGTAGATGGCATTTTCTGGCATTTTCCATCTGTTGAGTATTCCCATCCTGGAATACATCCACCATTGCATCAATAAACATAAAATAAGGTTTATCTTTCCCAAGTCTTTACTTTAAAAGGTTCTTTCACCTTTACCTAGGCAATCTTACCATGATAAGGACATTGAATGCGACCCTCATTCACAGAGCCAAGATCAAGAGGGCAAGCTCTATGTGCGCAAGTGTTCTTAACACACCCAGGTTTTCCATCTTTCCCACGGAAAATGACCCAAGGTTCCTCAAAGCATTCCATTGGGATCTGAAATGAAGGAAATCCAAGTCACTATGTATACCTTTCACAAGCATAATTAAGAGAAGACAAAACGCAGTGATTATATAAGCTCTCAATAGCTTACCATAGTGTCTTCCTTCAAGTCTGCAGAAAAGGCAACAGGGTACCAGAAATTCTTCAAGCTAGGATGATAAGATTTGACAGGACCTGATACATCTATATTCTTACGAGGCAGCTTCCTCTTAGTGGTTTCCATGGGTTGTGTGGAGGTATTTGATGAAGCATCTGTCTGATTGGTTTCAGTTGTTGTTCTGTCTTGTAACAACCTATCATTAACCAGTTCCTCCATGTAAGCTAGTTTATCTAAAGCTGCTGAAACCCGTGCTTCAGAAATATGAACCTGTCATTATCAACACATATATGGAAAACAAATAAATGGCAAGTATTAGGGACTCAGAAATTGGTTGCGGCTGTTAAGTCCAGAATTTTTTTAAATGAAAAGTACCTAGTGTCATACAAAGTATGTAACAAACTCTTTACCTGTTTATGAGCCTGTGCAAGCTCTTCTTGTAAACCATCTAGCTCCTTTCTCAATGTGCCAACGGACTTGTATTCACGAGCAAGAGGGTTCAATACCTCCACGACCTAAATTCAAAAGTATCTGGAAGTGAGAAATTCAGACTCAAAATTAACACAGATGAATACAGATTTTAACTCATACATCATTAAAGTGAGTTCATTAGTCAATAATTTTGGGGAAGTAAAGATAATCACAAATAAACAAGCACTACAATTTGAAAAGCCACAAGTGGAATTTTCCTGCAATTGATTGTAATAAGCTATATCTAAAGGCTCCCGATACTTTTCTCAAATTCTAATCTGTCTTATAGTAATAAGTAGCCATTAGTTGCTACCTTCATAATCAAGGTACGATGAGGTACGCAAGCATATTCATGATCCTTTTGATAGACACATGATTTACAAGTATGAAGTATGAAATGTTATGGTGTGGAATTAGGGTGCACGATATAAAGGAGAAAAAAACTGTCAGATTGTTTTTGTTTATAATACTGATTAATCTTTTATCTAATTATTGCATGGGTAAAAAGGTACAATGGTCATGGTAAAATTACACATTATCAGTTCACAATGACAGCCATCTTTTTATCATCTTAAGCAATAGTCAGCAAACTAAATTTCTTCTCAAGTCCTTTTTCTTTCACCCTTCTATTGATGATGAAGATAAAAAAAACATTCTCTTACAAACTTAATTGTAATATATAACTACAGAGCATCATTGCAGGGAATCACGGACCTTTTCATGTAGGAGCATTATTGTAAGAACGTCCTGTCTAGCTCTCCAATCCAAGTATTGGATATCGAATCTTGCCACTTCCAAGGCTTGATTTACATCCAATATTTTTCCTTTATACAATGGGGCTTTTGATCTTGGATCCTCCACATTAAAGAGCGTCCCCCACGTGCTCTTCTTGTCTATGGACCCTCCATCTTCTCCAAAAACAGCAAACACTCCAATACTGCCTTTTACCTGGATTATTTTCCAAGCTATTAGCAAATAGAAAAATTCACATATAACAATTCCAATTCTTTTCCCACATTCTTTTACACTTTACAGTGACTAGAAGTTATCTGTTAATCTACGCTAAAAAATAATAGAACAATAACATTTATAAAGCAAGTGCCAATATTATTTTCTTTAATTTTGACGGTATATCACATAGGACCAACATGGATCCTCTATCCTGTTTGGTGTCTCATTCTATGTCTCATCTCTTCTCGCTTTGTCAAATCACTATAGCTATGACGGAACAATCATCACAAACACAAAATTTCACACCATCTCAATCCATATAGGAATTAAAACCTCATCCTCGCGGAAGTTTAATCTAATATAGCTAGAAAAAGATACTAAGTCACTCTAACCCTAGAGCAATCACTTACAAAATGGCTCTGTCATAGTCTCACACTTTATCAAATACCCTAGTTGTAACCTTAATTACTTCCATCCAATGTCCCATATAGATACCCAATCTTCATCCCCAAATTCGAGCAACATCGATTCTCTTCATAATTGGTAAATTTTAGCCAAGATAGATACACCCTTAATCATAAATATAATAATGGTATTATCAATATTGCCCTCTCTCAAAATGGAGCACCCATTCAAGTGATTCAAATTACATTATAAACTTCTTGAAAACTTGGGTGAGTGTCCTACAAGCAACCATTAAACTATTGCATAGAACAGCTAATTAATTAGCAAATGATCTTCCCAACATTCAAAAAACTTGGGTAAGTCCCCATCACACAAATTTCTAGGCCAAAAACTACAATGTAATCCAAAATTTCACAACTCCATTTAACTAAGTACACTTCTCCATAAGCATTCAGCACATCTATAAGCTAAAGATCATATTTTTAATACATTTAAACAATCAAAGAAAACAACGCAACAAGTTGACAATTCAACATGATCAAATTCCACTATAAAATATAATCAACTAAACAACCCAATACTCTTATTAAACAAAAAAACGACCCGTAATTTTATCATGAATTCTTAAACACTACTAAACATAAATAACACTAATTGACACGTAATTTTGTAACTTAACATCAATACTTAACCCTAAGAGCTTACATATAGCAAACCCGATACCAAAAACTAAAAACTACTACAAAACATACCTTTCTAGGATTAAATTTAGAAGGTCGACTAAGAGAAATAGGAAGAGAAAGAGCAGAAGCAGTAGCAACAGCATTCATGGCGTTTTTTTTATTAAAAAAATAAATAAATTATTGTAAAACAAACCCCCAAAAAAACAAGGGGGAATGAAAGGAAATTTTTGGTAAGAAGTTTGTGTGGGATAAGAGAAGTTGGAATAGAGCGCGCGATCTCAGTTGGCCTACCAATGAATGACATGTGGAATTATGTGTTTCACACGTGGCATTTGTTACATCCACAAGACTTAAGTTTGAAAGAGAGTGTGAGTTTCTATCAATGTAATATGGGTTTTGTAGGGCTTTAATATCTAACTTATCTTGGCCACCTTGGATGAATGGATTCTCTAGATAGATATCTCTCTAATCTCTTTCTTTATTTTTATATTTCTTGTTACATGAGAAAATAATTAAGAGTTGGAGTATGACATTTGAGTTTTGACGGTCCAATTTGTGTTACTGTTAGAAAAATATCATCCTATGTTTTATGGTATGACATTAATTATGCGCCAATTATCATCCGAATTCTTTCATTTGTATTTGGACATGTTTATATTTATATGTACTTGTAGCTCGGCCTAGGTTATGTTATGTTCACGATAAATTCAAGTGAAGGTTAATAAAGTTTTGATTAGATAAATTCATTTCATACAAGGATTGTAAGAAATGCATAAGTTGATTAAGTTCAAATCAGCGAATATCGAGTGAATGAAATAGACTTTTATACTTTTTGTTTAAAGGAAATGCATTAAAAGATTCTTATTATCGGTCAAATAGTGTTTTTCTCTTCATTTTACATATACTACTACTCCATACTGTTCATTTAGCTTTGTAGTCACCGAGTTAAATAAGGTTAATTGATTTTCCTTGAAATTACCAATAATCTAACTTCGAATCAGCCTAATCTTCAGCATGATGAGCTTCTTGTTCTGTTGATGCCTTGATGGTAACAAAGCCAAGGACTATTTTTAGAATATGGAGTGTTCCTGCGAAAAAAAGGAATAATACTAAAATTTGTGTAAGAAAGTACAAAAAGGTCCTACCGGGAGTCGAACCCAGGTCGCTGGATTCAAAGTCCAGAGTGCTAACCACTACACCATAGAACCTTGCTATAACTGCAATTGCTGAACATATATTATATAAATAATTTATAACTTAGTGTTAGGGATAATCTTCCAAAGCTCCACTTAATATTATAAAAAAAAAAAGGGCATGATTATGTAATATTTTTATAGATTTTACTTAATATTTATGTCTAATCCGTCAACTTCTCATAATTTTGAAATAAACATAAACAATAAACAAATGCTTCGTATATTACGAGTCATCTAATTAAAAACCTATAAGTCAAATATTTCATACATGAATGGTAATAAAATAATTCAGAATTTACGATAGAACAATGATGTTAATTAACAACACTTGTTCATTAATGGTGGTAAAAAGTCAGCAAAATATAAAATCTACAAAATTATGAAAACTACAATTGAAGCAAGAGCCAATCAATAAATGACTAATTAATCTCATAAAATACCCATCAAACTCCAATCCAATTAATATCCCTTGCACAATCACATAAAAGTGGAAAACCAAAAAACTCTAAAATCATGAATTTTTTTACAGGCTTGAATTCTTAATTCCGAATTATTTTTTTTCCTAAATTGGAAAGGTACTACTTCGTATTAATTTAAAAATATATGACAAAATTACATAAATAAAGAATAAAGAAAAAGTAATTAATGTTTTTTTTTTTTAAAAAAAAGTAACAAAAAAAATTAGCGAATTTTGTGTGCGGCTGGCCACGCCATGTGGCCGTTTGTAAAACAACAAAGTAACCCTTGTAATAATGACTGAGTAACCCTTATAACACTAATCGAGTAAACCCTATAACAGCAGTGACGAAGTAAACCCTGTAACACTGATTGTGTGACCCCATGATATATAAGAATATGTATAAAATAATACCTTTAAAACAACTTAAATATATTTTTAGTTAATTGAGTTAAGCCCAATTTATCTGCCAAATAAACAAGAACAAAATATCAAGTGGCAATTTCGTGAATAATTCAACTTTTAAAATCCCAATCAACCTGTCATTTTTTGCTGTTATTTATTTACAAAATTATCACTTAATAAATATTTTTTGTTTGCTTATCTGGTAGATAAACTTGCATTTATAGAGGATGAATAAATAAATAAATAAGGAGTATACAAAAAGAAGTCTTAATCAAGAATAGTGATGATTCTACAAACATTCACCTCTCAAAAGTTTCCAAATGGGTTCTAAAATTGCCATTTAAGCATCATGTTCAAACTCCCTCACGCAAAGAAGAAACTATAACCCCCAACCTCCCCTTTTAATAAATCCCCTCTTCCCATTTTCTCTCTCCTAAAAAAATCCAACTTTTTTCAGACACAAAACAAACAATTCCAGCAATCAAAATCAACAACAAAACTACTAGTACTACCAGCAAAAACAGAGATAAATAACAACAATAATAATATAATAAAAATGGTGAGAGAAAATGGAAGTAATAACAATAATAATCACAAAAAGAAGCAGCAGAAAAAGAGGAATAAAGCAGGGGATTTTTTCATGGCAACTTTGGTGGTGTGGGGTTTGTCGGTTGGATTTGAAATCGTATCGAATCATAAGAAAGAACTTCTTCCTGTATTGTATGGTTGTTTGTTCTTCCAATTTGCTAATTGGGCTCTTCGTTTTTTGGTTTCTCGAGAACCCCTTTTTGTTAATACCTCTGTTTCTCTCCTTCACTCTTCTTTTGCTTCTGCTTCTGGTAATTTCTACACTACTTTTTTATTCCGTCTTTCTGAATATTGGTTGATTTTTGATTTGGGTGTTTTTCTGTTTTGTTTTGATTTCGTGATAGTGTCCATTATACACTCGGGTGGGTGTGCCCGGGTTTTGATTGCATATAACTCTAGGTGTACACGGGTGTATAATGGATTTTGTAATTGTGGAGTGTTGTTGTATACTTTTAGTTGGTTTATTTGGTGATTTCTAGTGAAAACTATATGGAATGGTATGAGATGCGCATCTTAGATGGAAAATCTTTATTTATGTTACTATTTTTGCCTAAATTGGAGTGTTTAAGTGTCACACCAATGTTCGAGTGTCAAGTATCCAACAAAAATTCTCGAGGTAAAATGAAGAGTATGTGTAACATAGTTCTTGGTTTTGTGTTGCAATTTTATCAGTAGGTGCAATTGAGTACTTAGATGTTTAAATTAGCTGAGCTTTGCATTTCCATGGTGAATTGTTGATGTTATTAAGGTACTGAAACTTTGTGCTGGGCTCTTGACTGCATATCACTATATCAGTTGTTGCTTGAGACATCTGCTTATAAACCCTTCTGCAAATTTTGAGTTTTACATACCTAATTAACCTTTCTAAAGTAAATTGGTTTACAATGAATCAAAGAGATTTATTTTGCTGTTAATTGGATGATATAAAAGTATAATTTTGCTTCCAATTGTAGTCTGACTGTCGATATCCAATCGATGAAATCTCTGCATTATATTCTATTGATAGTGCTCAACACATTGGCCTTTTCAGTTAAGCAAGAAAAATGATTGTTTCATGCCTGTACTGTTTAATTTCAAGATTTGATCCTTTAGCTTAAAAGCATTCAAGAATGCTTAAGCTATATTGTACTTACAAAACATGTAGTTTAGGCTTAGTTTATTCCTGTCTGTCGATCTCAGGATCTATGCAAGCCTGTCATCTTCTTTATCATTCTGTTAAAATTCAAGATCGGCCCCTCAAAGTAGATTGATAAGGTAGTATTGAAGGGAGACGGTTCTAGCAAGAATTGAAACAAGTAGTTGTACGTGGTGGACCGTGGATGGAACATTAATACATTGGCATAAGTTGTCTGATAGTTTCAGAAGACTATACTATTTGTGCCAAAACTTGCATTTTGATTTGAATTATCATATGCTTCAATTCCTGGCATCTCCGGCTGCTGAGCATCGCTCAAAAAATTTATTTTCATAATTTTCTTTTTTTTTGGTAAATAATTATTCTTCTCCTTGCTTTTTGTCTGATTAACTTGTTTGCTTCTGTTCTCTGACTGCTTCTATTGTCTGATGAACTTGCTTGCTTGCTTCTATTGTCTGATGAACTTGCTTGCTTCTATTGTCTGATGAACTTGTCTGCTTCTGTTGCAGTTGTGTTTATATTGTTCAACCAATGGAGTGAAAAGCGTTCCATTCAAATATTTGAGCATGAAGAACTGGTTCGAAATACATGGCCATGGGCATACACAGCCCTATGCATTTCTTGTGGTTATTTTGCATATGATCAGTGGGATATGTTGAAGTATGAACTATACAGTGGATGGTTCCCATCTATCCTGGCACATCACCTGATCCTTCTTCTTTGCTTCACGCTTGCTCTTTATCGCAATGTCACCATCAACTACCTCATCCTTACCCTAATCTGTGAGGTAATTTTCTGTCATCTTTAAGCTTTGATTCTGCTATGTCTGCATATCAATGGTTCTTTGTCTTTTCTTAAATGTACAAGTGCTACTTGGGATTTTCTCCATATTGCTAGTTGTCATCATTTTTGTTGGATTTGTTTACCTCTCACTGTTTTCGTTGCCTTAAAAGTTGGTTCTTTGACTAGACCAGCTCAAGCTGCTCTGTTGTTAACTTTTTATGCTTTTCATAAGTCTGAATTCCTCACAACCTAATAAAATCTTTTCCCTCGTGCTTTTAGCTGATACACTGGTAGTGAACCACATTATTTGTTTGTCGTTCTTTGATTTATTTTTATTGTTAATCCACCATAACAATTGTATAAATGGTTGACGTTTTCCTCTTAGAAACAATATTATCTGAAACTGTGACGCCACTTTCCATCACCAAAAACAACTATATGACCCAAGAAAAGAAATTATGAATTCTTCACATGGAAAAGCCTAAGCCTTGATATGGTCATGTTTTCTGCTATCAATGTAACATATGATTTGCCACTTTAGAGCTGAACCATCTGTTTTCATTTGAATCATGATAACAGTTGCACTCAGTCTTTCTACATGTGAGAAAAGTAAGACGGATGGCAGGGATTAGGAGTGCCGAGAGTACGATCGTGAAGGCAGAATGGTTTCTTAACTGGCTCACCTTCTTCTTTGCTCGACTACTACCCCACGCACTGATTTTGATCAAACTAGTTATAGATGCCCCAAAGTTTGACAAGGGTGTAGAGCTACCACTTGCTTTATTTGGGATGATTGGTATGAATTTGCTCAATATCGGTCTAGGCATCGACATCTTTGGTGCTTATAGGAGAGAAAAGAATCCTCCACAGAACCATCATAGTGATTAAAGTGAGCACAAGATCGAAGTTTTTAGCTGGCTGAGCTTCTATGGTTTGTTTTACAATGTTCTGAAAAGGATTATATAGGTAATTGAACTTATTGTTGTTTGTAGCAGCAAAGAAAATAGATATTGTATTTTCCAACATGGACTATTCTTGTGAAAGGAAAAAAAAGGCATGATGTAAATTATGGGATTAAGGTATTCAAGAAGAAGAAGAAGATGTAAATTATGTTGATTATAAGAGTATTTGTTTATATTCGTTGCTGTATAAAAATATTGTTTTTTTGTTTTTGGTCATACAAGAAAGAAAATGTTTTGGAAGTTACTGTTAAAAAAGCAAAAAAGGTCCTACCGGGAGTCGAACCCAGGTCGCTGGATTCAAAGTCCAGAGTGCTAACCACTACACCATAGAACCATGTTATGCTTATTTTTGTTTGCAGATTATCATTGTCATTTTCTAGGTGTTATTTTTTTTAATTTTTTTTTTAAAAAGTAGTTTTTTTTTTTAATAATTTGTATCTTTCAAACCTCTAACTTTCATAATATTTAGTGGTACAAATTTTTAAATTTTAGCAATATGAAAACACAAATGAAAAAAAATTGTGTAGTCTGGTCTATTATGAAACTTGTTGGTATGATTTTTTAGGACTTCCTACTCTAGACTTTTGTGAACAGAGCATCCCTCAATTTAATATCATAAACTTAGTGAATTTAAGTTGATATGATCATAATTTTCAAAGTATCTGTACAGCTTTACACACCTAATTATTAATTATTAATGGAGCCCAGTTGACTTCAAAGTCATCAAAACTCTTTAACTCCAGTTCATCTCTCCCTTCCTCTCTTAATCATTCATCCATGGCAGAATTCATAGCAAGTAGTATAGCATCAGGATTAATCGAAGAGGCAGCAAAGGCAGTTACCAAGTGTTTCGGGTGAAAACAATGGGACCTTGCCGAAGGTCCGCTGAAACGGAGAAGACTAGATTCGGTCCAAGTTATGCTGGGCCGAAGGTTTCCTGCACAGTAAACACACGTAAACTAGCCTCGGGGGTGTTGCCGAGGAAGGCCCCTCCGATGCTAAAGTCAGTACAGTGTGTAGTAAGAGAACACTATGCAAGAGAATTAGTTGCTTGAGGCTTTGCTTGAATATATGAGAGTATATGAATCTATGAATGAATATGTATGTATGAATATTGATGGCTTTTATACCTCTTCATACATGGAGAGGTTGGGCCTTAGCCCAATTGGCTTGCTTTGAGGGCTGACCTTTGACTTTAGCACAATTGGAGAGTTGAACCTTGACCTTGGGCTTTTAATTGGATCATTTAATGCCTAGGCCCAATTGGACTAAATTGGACCCAAACAACTTGCCCCCCAGACCCGATTTGGAAGGATGACGGGTCGGGTTTGATTTAATTCAGAAAAGGAGGGAAGTAAATGATTTAATTAATCCAAAAATTTGAATTTAAACCGTAATTAATGAGATAACAACGGTTAAGGCGGATGATTGTGGAAGTTGGACGGATAATGGGCAGTTTAATCACAAGATCGTGTGTTTAACGGTTACTTAGTGGGGTATTTAAGAGAAATTGAAACGCGGACTCCCCGTATCCCATTCCTGGAGATATAAACATAGGCGCGTCATCTCTCCTCACTTATTCACCAACACAGACCCAGAATTCTCGAGAGAAACCAAGAACCCGCATCAAAACTTCGCAAATTCCCCGAGCATTAAGCTTAGAAACTGAGACTTGCCACTACGAACTCGTAAATCGGCAACTTTCGCTTCAGATTAAGGTAAATTCCTTTGATTTCAGTTTATTTTTCTTCGAACTCGAACTCCTTCCCTTTTTTTTCTACTTTTTTCTTCGAAATAATCAATGGCAAGAGGAGTTAGAGGTAGAGCCCGTGCTCCAAGAAGAGCAAGGCCAATTCCCGATCCTAGGAACAGGATTGGGACCTGGAATGGACAAAGGCCAGAGTCTGACCCTGCTGAAGGGATTAGGGCGACTCCAATTTCCTCGGTTCCTCCTCAGAGAACGGAGGGGCCGAGCGCTTCTGGACGGGACGATGAAGTTCCCGCTGTCCTTTGGGATATCCTCCCCGGGTTTTCAGAGTGGGAGAATGCCGAAGTAGCTTCGGCCATGATAAAGAACCGCCCCTACTCATGGTGGGTGGAGAATGCCGAACAATATCGGTTTGCCGAGCAAATTGAGTTGCATTACGGCATTTTTGAAGCTGATGGGTATTGGTGCCGAATGCCCGCGGCATCCGATAGAATCCATCGTCCACCCCCGGGGTATGTGGGGGTGTACACAAGACAGCTTCAGTACGGGCTGAGGTTCCCTTTGGACGTATTCGTCCGAGACTTGCTGATCCATTACAATATCTCCCTATGTCAGTTAACTCCCACCAGCATCCGAGGGGTGATGACATACTTATGGGTCTGCAAGTTCTTCAAGTATGTGCCGAACCTGCACTGCTTCAAAAAGCTTCATCGGTTAGTGCCAAATATTCAAAGTGGGCACGGAAGCCATGGTTCTGGGTGGTACCGGATTGAGTCCCGGCCCCAGTACCTAACCATGTGGCCGAACGACTCTTCAGACAAGGACTGGAGAGGTCAATGGATTTGGGTTAGGGCACCCACAGATTCGGGCCACCCCTGCGTCTTCAGCGCTCCCCGGTACCTTGCTGAGCCTGATCCCGACATGGGAAGTCTAGGTCCCCCCGCAGATAACGGGCCGGATCCGAACCTTGATCAACAACATATCTTCGGCAAGCTGCCGAACCGGGGGGGCAGCGGCCGAATGCAGCATATCCCGGAGACTTGGCTCCCCGATACGCATTATGTTTTCCAAGAGAACATGCTAGCAGCTGTTGGCCTCAGCCGAAAGTTTAAGGATGGTAAGCTTCTTCGGCTGGGGCCGAGGCTTTTTAGTTATCTCTTTTTCTTCTCTCACTTCGCTTTTTTATGCTGTGCCAACCTATCCGAACTGACCTTTCCCCTTTTCTTTTTCAGAGCGGGACGAGACCAACGTTGGCATTAACTACGCTCGTCTTGGTGTCAACCGAGAACGAGTTGTAACTGATCGGGCCCCGTCTATCACTGAACCGAGGCATAGGGAAGTTCATCTAGACTCTTCCCACTTCCAAATTGAGGCTGTTGCTCTGTATCAGAGGCAGAAGCCTTGGTGGAAGAAGAGAGACCCCTGGTTTCAGCTGCTGGACGAAGAAGCTGAAGCTGCCCGTACAGCCGAAGAGGTTGCACGGGTTCTCGAAGCTTGCGAAGGAGGAGAAGGGTCCTCCAGAGCTGCTGAAGAAGAAGCTGCAGCTAGGGCAGCTGAAGAAGACGAGGCTTTGCTGAAGACCTCGGTGAGCTTTCGGACTTAACTTTGTCTTCTTCTTTTTTTTTTTTTTTGTACTCACATTCCTCCTCCCCCCTGTCTGTTACAGTCTGAAGAGAGTAACAGACACAGAGAAGGGAAAGCCCCTGTTCGTCCTGAAGACCAAATACAAGAAGAGTCTTCAGACTCAGATATGGACGAGCAGCCCCTTCAGAAAAGGCGCCGAAGGATGGCCATCATCGAGCCGCATGACTTTCAGCGGAGGCCGATGACCATCGGCGTTGAAATAAGGGAACCCGAGGAAGGCAATAGATCGCCGAGGGTTCCCCGGCCACAACCTCAATCACCTCAAAAGACCCCTCCGCCACCTCCTGAGATGGAGGTGGATCAAAAAACTCCCGAATCTAAGGGAGGGGTCCAAGAAGAAGTTCAGGAGAGTGCTGCTGAGCACAAGAATAAGGATGCCGTGATGCCCAGTGCTGAGGGTTTCACGGCAGACATCGCAAGAGAGGTTGAGGCTTTCGTCCTCACCCCTGAAGAAGAGGAGGTCATAGTAATTGACTCCTCTGAGAAGGATGATGCTGAGCCATCCAAAGCTAAACAAGCTCCATCGTCATCCTTTCCCTCCTTCCAGACTCTACAATCTGGAGAAATGGGTTTCTCGGCCCCCCGAATTCCAATCCCAGATCACATCTGGGACCTCATATGGGGTCAGAACCGTGAAGGTGATGCAGCCTACTTCGGCGATTTTGCTGGCATGTCCGAAGTAGATAGGGCAAGAATCTGGTCGCTGAAGGCCACTGCTGGGATGGGCGAATCCAGCAGATCAGTTCCTGACCCAGCCAGGTCTAACCAACTGCTGATGATGCAGGTGATTTTCCTTGCCTTTATTTCCTCTAAAATTCAGCTCTATTTTTATTTACCTTTATTATTTTTTTTAACTTGTGCTCCTGTTTTCAGTTCGTGCACAATCAGACTCTCACTGTAGAGTTGATAGATACCCTACAAGATAGGGTAGATGCTGCTGAGCACGAAAAGAAGGTAGCTGAAGAGGAATTAAAGCTTGCTAAGCTGAAGCAAGCAGCAGCTGAAGAGAAGCAGCAGAAGGGTGAGGAGTACGAGAAAAAAGCTGCTGAAGCCCTCAAAACCTTCTGCGACGCTATGGAGAAGGAAGTTTTTCCCCCACTGATGGAAGGGGAAAAATTCCTCCAGGAGCACATGGGAGTGGACGTCTCCAAGTTCAAGGCTGCCGTTGAGAGCCGTATTCAGGAAGGAGCTGCTGCACAAGCTGAAGTGCAGCAACGACTAGAAGCTCTTGAAGCCAGCCGAATGGCTGCTGAAGAGCTGCTCCAGGCCAGGGACGTCCAACTCTCAGAGGCTGCTGCTGCTGCTGAAGCTCAGAGAGCTAAACTCCATGAGGCTGAGGATCAACTGATGGCCAAAAAAGTTGAAGTGGCCCAGGCTCAGACAAAGGCTTCCCAAGTTCAGCAGGAGCTGAATGAGCTGAAAGGTTCCTCCTCCGAGCTCGCCGATGAGCTGAAGAAATCCAAGGAAGACTTGGAGGAGACCCAGAAGAAGCTGGTTGATGCTGAGGCTCTACTCAAAGTCCGTGTCTATACCCAGGAAGAATATGAAATGGGTTTCAGAAACGAGTTCAGAGTATGCCGAAGAGTCTGCCTTCATGCTGAGCCGAAGCTGGACTGGTCCAAATGTGCTGAATGGGTCCAGAATCCCGAAGACCCTCATATGAAGTATGCAACTCCAGTCGAAGCTGAAATTCTTAAGGCTGAGGAAGCCGAAGAGGAAGCTGAGAGAATGGAGTTGGAGGCTGAACAGAGGGAAAGGGAGGCTCGGCAGAGTGCAAAGCCTGCTTCTTCTGCTGCTGGGGCTGAAGCCACCATGGGGCTCAACA